GTTAGATGGGGTGTGGGTAAGAAAGATTGGGGAATGAATCTTACGGGGCGAGTAGCACTGCAGAAACACTGACTTGGGACTGGTTAAGGATAGTGGGCTCCTATGACTCTAAAGGATTTCTAGAAGGGCAGGGGATTTAGCTCAATGGTGCTGTCTGCACTGCAAGCTTGAGGCCCTGAGTTCAATCCCCAGTACTGGAAAAAAATCTCTGGTGCATCTCCTAAAACTTCACCTTCAGAGAGCAGTCAGAGCCCCAGAGAGGGTGTCTCTCAGTGAATGCCCACCGGTTTCCATGTTCACACCCAGTTCCAAGTCACATTGGCACCACCTGCCAGCAAACGCAGGAGGGCTGACTTCTCTAACAAAGCTGCCAATGATTGCCATCAGCTGGCAGGACAGCAAACCCTGCTAGACCCTACATCACAGACAAAATGCCAACTCTCTGACAGTTCTTTCCCCTCTCTAAGCTGCCTCCAGTTATTTTCCTCCCAACTGGCCCTCAGCCACCCCACACCCCAGCTGATCTGGAGCCAAGAGAGTTGTTCACCAAACTTCCCTCCTCACATCAGCTTAGACATAGCAAGGGAGAAATAAACATTGTTTCTGATAAACCAGTCTAATTGGTGAACTGATGAATGGTTTAGTGAACAACATGGGGCTGGACCAATCAGTAAAGGCCAATTCTGTGCTATGGGAGGCAGCTGGGGCAGTCAAGCAGCATGGTTACCACAAGAAGAGTCTCAAGGCGCCGAGGGCCTAAAGGCTCAGCTCAGGTTGTCAGTGAGGGAGCACTCATTGGACCGCCACAGCCCAAATTCCAGAAGCACAGAACAGGCCCAGGTGTGTGGTGTTTCACTGAGGGGCTCTGTGAAACCCTCTACTTGCTCTACCTTTAGCCCTCTACAATCAATCAGCTCCCAAAAGATGGGGTTTTTTTTAATGAGATATTTGGCCATTAGTGTCATAATAGGAAAAGGTAGCATCAGGAGGCCTGGAGAACTGAGGCCTCCTCAAAAGTGACAGACCCCACCAAGCAAGCACTCATGTCGCAGTGGCTCTAACAAGTGGTTTTCAACATTCATCTCACCACAACTCCATGTGGAAACTGAGAGCTTTAGTGGCTCGCCGAGGCCCACGGCTCAACAAGTAATATCAAGGGCTGCAACTTGTCACTGTGTGGCACGGTTCCCACTCCTAACAAGGACAATCTCACTGAGGTGGCTCTCAAGTCCTTCAAAAATATCTCCAAAAATGGTGCCAGGGTGCACACTTATGTAAACATGCAGCCACTTCTTGCAGAGGGTGAGGAACAGTGTCCCTCTAGATCTTTTCCAGGCCAGGTTCACAGACCAAAGGCATCCACAGGAGGTTTGCTCATGGCTGCTTTTTGAGTTCTTTACCTCCTGGAAGAGGAACAGGACAGTCTGAAGTTTGACTAGAGATCACAGAGCAGAGCTGAGATATCCCTGAAAATCAGCCTAATCTCCTTGTCTGGGTAGAAAAACAGGATGGGAAGGAAGAGTCATCTGTGTGACTCCCCCTGGAGGCAGTAGCTTGCAGCAGAGAAATCTAAGACTGGGCAAGAAAGGAGGGCACAGCTGAAAGCTGAAGTGGGCAGCCACAGCCCAGCAGGGGAGAGGGACAGTATCCCCACTCCAGCTTAGCTTGGCCTCAGACTCCATCATGGGAACTTGGTGTAAATTGGGAAAAGGTGTCCCTTTGAAGCAGCACATGGCTTGATAAGCAGCAAGAGTGTTAGATATCCAGCCTCCCCCCTCACAGGGTGCTACCATACAGGAGACAACTTGCACAACTGTGCAAGGCAATGGGGAGTGTGGGAGCCACACAGGAGTCCCTCAACTTTTCTTCAGTCTCCCCAACTATTTACCATCTGGTAGTTTTAAAGAAATATGTCCTTGACATCAAAGCAGGTCATAAACCATTGTCCCCTCTTCCATACAAGGAAATCAGTTCTCAAAAGAGGGAAGGCAGGCCAGGGATTTAGCTTGGTGGTTCCGCCGCCTTCCTTGCAAGTGGAAGGTCTTGAGTTCAATCCCTGGTAACAAAAAAAAAAAAAAAAAGGGAAGGATTGCTATAAATGTAATTCAGCATGTAATGATAAAGATAACCCTTTATTTGTAGCCCAAGATCTTGGGAAAGGGCCCTATCATCTTTGCCTTCATAAACAGTATGTGTCCCCGAGGTAGGGAGGAAGAGAGGAGAACTGCACCAAGCAGGCTCCAGGTTCTCCCCATTCTCCCAGGCTCAGAACTTCACGAAGCAGATCAAAAAGCCCACAGTTGGGTCTGGTTGTGTGTTCTCCCCAGGTGTGCACAGATAACCACCCTCTGCAGATATGCTTGACATTCGGGAACCCAACCACAGCACCCCAAACCAGAAAGGATCCTGGGCTCTGAATCCTTCCCTCACCCCACTCTAGAGGCTACCAAGCATGCAGAGTCCCACTTCTACACATCCCAGGTCTCCTCCTGCTGGTCCCCGCTACCATGTTAGCTGGAAACATTTTCCTAGTTGACTTCTCTCCTCTTGACTTACTCCTCCCTCTATACACTGCTTTCTGAAAACCTTCCACAGGATCAAAATCAGCCCAACCACCATCACACCTGCCTCACCTGGCCCTGTCCATCCACCCCTACCACACATGTCAGCCAATCTGAGAACACAGTGCTCCCTCAGAGTGGCCAGTCCATGCCTCCATGCTGTGTTCACAGCTTCCCTTGGCCTGGAATACCCTGCACAGCACCACATTTCGATCTAAAAGGTGATCCCAGCTCAGGCCCTCCTGATTGGCCTGCCAAGCCTGCCAGGGGCTTCTGGAAAGCCCAAACTGAGGCCAGGCCCTTCCGAAGACCCTGTCAAGAGGCAGGGGTCTATGGTCTGGGGACAATGTGATATGGGAATCAGGCAGGGTGTCCTTCACCAGGCTTTTGACACCACCACGATTGGATCTGAGGACCCTATTCAGCCTCCTGTCCCCAACTTCCCTCAGACCCCTATGGAAATTGCCAGTTATGCATCTGTCTCTCACCTGAGACTGCCCTCTTGGTAGAGAGACACTGTCACCTTCCCGTGCGTCTTTCCACACAAGGTCAGACCTGGGGAATGGACAGTGGGGTGAGGCACCCAAGGAGTGTCTCCTTGTGTTTAAGCTAAACTCTCTGCTGGCTCTGTGTTGCTCCTCGTGTCCCTTGCCCCAACAGAAGCCAGACCTGTCTCTGTGTGTACATGTGAGTACCAGTGCCCCTATAAGATTCCTGGTCCAGTTTCAAAAACATTGCTGCTTTAAACAGTTAAGTGCCTGGAGGCATCCATAATACAGGAAAGGGACAAAAACATGGGCCCACCCTCATCGGCTGAAGCCACAACAGGTCACAACATAGGTCTGACAGGTGATCTGAGCTCCCTCAGCATGGAGTAAGGGCTATGGACAAGTCAGGTCTGCTCTCTGGGCGCATACCTTTCAGAATGACAAATCACACAGAACAACCAGAATAAATGAGATCCCTTCAGAAGAAATTCGTTTTGTGCTTAAGTTGAATGTTTCAGGGGAGAGGGGCTGCCCCAGTGACTGCTGCAATTTTTCATTGTGCACCCTTATCACTAACCCCTCCTTCCTATATAAATAACCCCATTTACAAAGCTGTACTGTCAAGCCATACAGTAAATTTCAGTAAGTGTTGTGGGCTGAGTTGTGTCCCCCTCAAATTCTCATATGTTCTGACCTCCAGTACTTCAGTATATGGCTGTATTTGGAAACAGTCCTTAAAGATGTAATTAAGTTAAAGTAAGGCCATCCAAATGGGCCTTAATCCAGTATGACTGTTGCACTTATAAGAGGAAATGTGGACAGATACACAGAGGGAGAATCGTGCAAAGATACAGAGACACACAGAGGCAGAGGCCTCAGAAGAAAGCAACCTGCAGACATCCTGATCTTGGGTTTATTGCCTCCAGAATTGAGGGGTAATACATTTCTGTTATTTAAGCCACCCAGTCTAGAGTACTTTGTTTTGATAGCCCTACCAAACTAAATTCAGAAAGGCTTACTTTCTCTCTTTTACGTTAAATATAAATCGCCTTTGTAATATTTTCTTCTCACAGTCCACCTCAGACAGCTGTGATGAACCGAGGGCCCACTGGACTTTAGAGCACAGGCCACACACAGCGGGAGGACATGAGGGGTCTGGGGACCTCTGGGATCTTCCCCTGTGAGCAGGACCACACTGGGAAGGCCCTGAGAAGGTGACGCCCTGACCCAGAGGGTCAGGTTTGTCACAAGCCAGTCCCCCAAACCCGAAACCCTCCTTTTGCCAGCATCGGCCAAACTCTCCTGATTATAAGAATCACCCAGGGTGCCTCGGTCCCACCCCTGGGAGTTGTATGGTAAGCCCAGACCTTGATTTTAAGTGAGTCAGGCGATGCTCAGGACCAGGCGCATGCGAGATACCGGAGACCCGGCCCTTTGATACCAAGAGGCGAGATAATGGTTGGAGTATGAGATGCGAGCCCGCTCATCCCCACCGCGCGCAGCTGCGGCCCCTTCGCCACCAGCTCTGCCCCGCCCCGCCCCCACCCCCTGCCTCAGCCGAAAGCAACCGGAGCCCGCTGTTTCGGCCTTGCTATGTTTTCCCATTTACATTTTGTGCCCTGCGTTCGTCCTCTGAATCAACAGGTAGTGGAATAAATGTCTTCTGTTTCCCTCACCAGTAACTTCGCGGAGTCCCAGGCGTCCTTGTTTTTCTCCTGGGTGTGGCCCGCCTATGACTTCACTCGGGCTCAGGGCCTTAAGTGAGACCCAGGATCTCCGCTCCCATTGCTGCGACGAGGGGACGGTCACAGCCCCAGAGTCCACGCGCCAGGCGGGAAACAAGTGTGCGGTTGCGAGGCTCCCGCCTCCCCCGATCTGCGCGCCCCGGCTTCCCCGCGCACCGCAGGTTCTTCCGGACCGGGACCCGCACCGCCCCCGCGACCCCGCTCACCCAGGCAGGCAGGTGCTGGCCCCTCAGCTCCCGGCTGATGAACTGGCGCTCGTTGTTGAGGAACTCGAAGGCGGCCTCCAGGCGCCCGAGCTTCCCGAGGCGGTTCCGGCGCCACCACATCCAAAGCAGGACGCCGAGTAGCAACCACAGTATGCTGAGCCCCAGGTAGCCGGCCAGGTAGACGGGCGCCAGGTAGAACAGCACGCGTACCACGAAGGTGTAGAGCTCCGGCAGCAGCTGGTTAGTCAGGCGCAGCTCGGGGCCCGGAGCGCGCTGGGCTCCCGGGGCTCCCGGGGCTCCCGGCGCACTAGGGGCGCATGGCTCCTCTGCTGCCATCTCCGTTTTGCCCTCTCCGGGAACTTCACCCGAGCTCAGGCCTGCACGCCCCGACAACACCTGGGCACATCTGTCCTCCAAGCTAGAGGACAGAACTTCGGAGCCTCTCCTGCCCTGCCAGGGCTTTCCCGCCCCGCTTCTCCTGCTGAGCTCCGCGCGCTTGAAAACTCTGAGTGGGGCGGGGCCCGCAGCGGGGGTGGGGAAAGTCCGGAAGTCTCCGCCCTGCGGGGCTGGACCAGGTGCAAGGGGTGGGGCCAGGGGGCCGAGGATTGGTTGGCTTCAGGTTCGGGGACTTGAGAGTCCCCGCTATCGGCAGCAGGAGTGCAGTAGCCACTTGGAGTGAGCTAAGTGACTCAAGACTCACCAAAGTCTGGGTATGACGGAAAAACATCACCGAAATCAGTGTAAGAATTGCTGCTCACCTGAGGTTCTTTTTTTAGAGTATACAAATCCTGTTAAAGCCTCTGAAAAATCTTGAAGATAAAAGCTCCAGTTAAACGGTATTGTAACTGAGTTTCTCAGAATATTTGAGTTGAGAAACACCCTAGTGTTTCTCAGAATATTTGACCACAGAACTCTTTTTTTCAAAGCACCTTTATCAATTACCCCAGGTCAGCAGAAGCCAAAGAAACGATAACGTATGACTGAGCTACAGCGAAAGCTCTTGCCACTTGAGGCAGAATGTGGCTGGCTGTCAGGGTGGGTGGACCAGGAAGTAAAATTGTCAGAATTCTGCTCCTCATCCCTGCAGAGCACAGAACCTTCCCCCAGGGTTCAGGTCTACTGGAACTGGAACACTTCTCACAGATTGAGAGATTGCCTTGATCCTGTTTCAATTTCAGATTCCTTTGAGAGAAGATCCGGGCGTATCTACCACTCCCTTTGCTCTTCACACTCACCAGGCTCACACCTCATGCCTCACCTGGGTTAGAGTGTTTGGGGAGGATTATGGAAGGTAGTGTATTTGAAGGAGGGTTACCAGAGAAAGGACGCTTATGTATGGAGTGGATACCCATAGGCAAGATGTCCAGCATGAGGCCTGTCACCATCCTGAACAAGTTGCCCTCAGCACTGCCTTTTTCTTCCTGGAATAAGTCAAGCTCATTCATGCCTCCAGTTTTTTGTAGTTATTGTTACTTCTACCTGGAATATTCCTCTCCTAAATCTTCCCCACAGTAATTAGGGTGGTGGGATTATGATTTGATATCTTTCCTCTTTTAAACCTTACAGTGTTATTAAATTACCTCCAGAAATTAAATATATGAGAACATTGAGACCGTTGCATCTAAAACTTCATATTCCACTTATTAAATTACCACTTAGAACACTGAAGTCATTACTTTTTTCATCTGATATTGTGGTTTTCATCTAAAATGTCCCCAGGGGCCAGGGATTTAGCTCAATGGTTCCACCACCTGCTTTGCAAGTGCAAGGACTCAAGTTCAATCCCTGGTACCAAAAACAAAAACAAAGCAAAATAAAATGTCCCCAGCAGTCTCATGTTTGGTATCTGGAGGTGGGCTCTGGTGAGAAAGGATATGTCACTTTGTCACTGGAGGCATGGCTTGGAAGAGTGAATTCGTGTCCCTAGCCCTTCCTCTCTCTCTCTCTCTCTCTCTCTCTCTCTACCTCCCTTGCCCTCTCCCTCCTTCCCTCCCTCTTTTCCAGCTGTCCTATGGTTAATACTTTTCCTCTACCACTCCATTCTGCTATGCTTTTTCTGCCTTGGAGCCAATTGACCATGGACTGATTGCACTGAAGCTATAAGCAAAAATAAACTTTTCCTCCTTTAAATTGTGGGTGTCATGTATTTTGTCCCAGTGATGGGAAAGTGATTGATATATAAAATTGGTCCCAGAAATGGGACTATTGCTGTGATGGTGCCTGTTCATGTGCTTCAGAAATCTTTGGAACTGGTTTGAAGAAAAAAATTGGAAAGATTTGGAGATGTGAGCTACAGACGCCCTGGAATGTTGTAAGTAGTGCTGAATATGACACTGGTCAGATCTCTAAACACTGAAGTGCTCATAGGAATGAAGAAAGTAAACCCCAGGCTCAGAAGGTTTTAGTTGGAAACAAGGACTTCATTGGCCATTGAAGTAGTGGCCATATGTGTTATATTTTGGCAGAAAATTTATCTGGGTAGTAAGTCCCTGGCTTATGAATGAGTTCCATCCTGGGAGAATTGTTCAAAATTGAAATTTGCTTGGAATCTGACAAAATATACCTGTGAAAGATCACAACTTGAATGTTTGTAATTTGGTGACTTACTGTATTGCTCATGCCCTGACTTTGTGGAGGCTGAAATTAAGGGCAATGAACTAATTAATCTGGTAAAGGAAATTTCAAGGCAGCCAAACATGTAGACTGTGGTATGCTTCAGCCAGATCTACAGTAAGAATCAGGAGCAAACAGCAGAGCTCAATGATCTGAAAAGTTTGCAGTTTCACTGGAAAGGAAGTGCCTGCAAAGTTGGGGCAAAGGATAATATAGTTGCTGAAAATATTAGCATTCAAAAGAAGCCAAGCACTTTGTATAGGGACAAGAAAAAGACGTCTTGAGGGCATCTCAGGAATCACCAAGACCCCAACCATTGCAGGTTCAAGGGTGCAAAACTGTATTTTTTTTTTTTTTACTTGAAAAGGGAGTCCCTGGGACAGCTACTCATTCAAGACCATCTAAAGAAGTTTATCCCTTAATCTGACCTTCTGAGCATTCAGAGGCTGCTGCAGCTATAGTGAAAGGGAGCCAGGCTATTGCTTGATCTAGCAGACCTTGACATCATCCACACAGTGCTAGGTTTTTTTTTTCCTGGCATGCAGAATACAAGAAATATGAGGGTCACAGAGGCCTCCACTCAGATTTTGGAAGGCAGCCTTGAAGGCCAGGTAAAAATGTGTGACAGGATCACAGATCCTGCCAGATGTCCCTGAGAGGGTGATGCATGAAGCTGTGAGCATGAAACGGAAGGTGCAATGGACACACCTGGAAGTTGGAGATTCCAGAAATATGGATCATCTGCCAAGGGAAGCTGCAAACAGTTAACTAAGATAGCACAATAGAAAGGCTATGTGAGCTGTAACCAGCAAGACCATAGTGGCATCACTGCCTAATCCTTTTGGAGACCGTGTCACTCCACAACCTGTCCTGGAGCTGGACATGTACCTACAGGATTTAGCATTTCCTCTGCTAGGTTTAAATCTTGCTTTGGATAAATTTCTTTCTATTCCCATTTCTCCATTTTGGAAAATGGGAATATTTGCCATTGTATGTTAGAAGTACTTTTAGAAGCATTTAATTTTTTTTTCTTCTTTTTTTCTGGTACCAGGAATCAAATTCAGGACCTTGCACTTGCCTGGCAGGTGCAGCACCACTGAGCTACATTCCCATCCCATCTTTTTTTATTTTTGTAGGGGCTCACAGCTAAGAGTTTACCTTGAGTCTCAGAGGATGATTTGGACTTGAACTTTTTGGCAATGCTGAACTGATAAGACATTGATGAATATTAAAGATGAATTAAATCCATATTGCAAAATGAGAGGGACATGAGCCTTTTGGGTGGAGGGAGAGAATATTATGGTTTAGATCTAAAATGTCCCCTAAAAGTCTCACACTTAGAGGCAGGGCCTGATCAGAAGGGATGAGTCACTGGATGTGTGACTTGGAAAGGTATATTCTTGTCCTTGGTTCCTCTCTTCTTGTTCTGCTTCTTGGCTTCCATGTGATGAACAACTTTCCTCTGCCATGCTGTTTTTGCCCTGGTGCCTGCTGACCATGCACTGAATTCACTGAAATGTGAGCCAAATGAACCTTTGCATCTTTAAATTGTGGGTGCCCAGTAAATCATCCCAATGGTGGGAAAATGACTAATACATGAGGACACTCTCATTGCTACAATCAAAAAATGTAGACTGTTTGATTACAGCACAATCTGGGGAGGATGATGCCTTCCAGAACCTTTGCTTGCACCCCACTGAGTTTATCATGTTACATGCCAGCTTTATAGGACAGAGTAACTCAAATTTTTCATGGCTACTGTTGTGGGTTGAATTGTGTTTCCCAGAAAGCTATATTGAAGTGCTATATCCTGGGACTTGTGCATGTAATCTTATTTGGAAATAGTATCTTGAGAATGTGATCTTTTATTTGCAAATGTAATCAAGTTAAGATTAGATCTTATTAGATTCTGCTCTGATTATTATTGGTGGGTCCAGAGAAGGTACAGAAAGGGAGGAAGGCCATGTAAAGACAGAAGTACAAACTGGAGTGATGCAGCTACTACCAAGGAAGGCCAAAGAATGTTGTCAAACAACAGAGGCTAGGAAGAAGCCAAGAAAGATTGTTCCCTAGACCCTTTTGAGAGAGCTTACCTCTGTCTTCCTACATCTTGATTTCACACTGATGGCCTCCAGAACTGGAAGGTGAATACATTCCTATATTTTTTAGGCCTCCCAGTGTGTGTCACTTTGTATAGCACCTCTTAGAAACAAATATAGTCACCTACTGAATGCCAGAGGCTGTCAGCACAGGAGGTTCAGGAGTAACAGAATCCCTGCTCTGATATTTCGAGTGGAAAAGATAAGACAACAAACATTAAAAAACAAGGAAGGGAAGGGAGAGTGCTATGAAGACAGGGCCATGAGCAGGTCCTGCTCTGATATTTCGAGTGGAAAAGATAAGACAACAAACATTAAAAAACAAGGAAGGGAAGGAAAAGTGCTATGAAGAAGACAGGGCCATGAGCAGAGTGAAACAATGTGATCAGAGCGGGCAGAGGGCTATTTTAGCCAGGGTGGTTTGGAAATGCCTGTCTGAGAGGTTGAGAATCTGAGTTGAGAATCAAATAAAAAGATAAGAAGTACGCGTACAATTTCACCTTATTAAAGGAAATTGGTATCATAAAGTTGTCTTCCTTTTGGAACAGAAAAATAAGTATCCTCCACTATGCAGGTGTCATTATTTTACTTTTGCATTTCTATGTGGGGCTGCACAGTCATTTCTACGTATCTGTCCTTGCTGTAGGACTAGGTTTCCCCGAGGGCAGAGTCTCTGTGTCAGTGCCCAGGTCTGAGCACAACACAGCAAGAGTCCAGGGACGAGCATAGCCTTCCTACATCTTGATTTCACACTGATGGCCTCCAGAACTGGAAGG